GACTATATGAAACTAAAAAGTTTTTGCACAGCAAAGGAAATCATCAACAAAATGAATGGGAGAAGGTATATGTCTACAATACATCTGACAAGGGGTAAATATGCAAAATTTATAAAGAACTCCTACAACTCAGTAACAACAACAACAAAACAATCCAATTTTAAAAAATGGGCAAAAGAGGAAGTACAGATGGCCAATATAAATATGAAAAGATGCTCAATGTCACTAATCATCAGAGAATTAAAACCACAATGAGATATCACTTCACACCTGTCAGATTGGCTATCATCAATAAATAAAAAAAAAACAAATATTGGTGAGGATGCGGAGAAAAAGAAACTATCATACCTTGTGGGTAGGATTGCAATTGGTACAGCCACTATGGAACACAGTTTGGAGGTTCCTCAAAAATTAAAAAGAGAACTACCTTATGACCCAGCAATTGCACTTCTGGGTATTTATCCAAAGAAAACCAAAACAATTCTTAAAGATCTATTCATTATTATGTATTATTATTCATTATTATGTATATGTACTATGTTCATGGCAGTGCTATTCATAATAGCCAAGATATGGAAGCAACCTAAGTGCCCATCAATAGATGGATAAGGAAGTTACGGTACATATATAATGGAATATTATTCAGCCATAAAAAATGAAGTCTTACCATTTGCAACCACAAGAATGGACTTAGAGAGTATTATTGGGTGAAATAAATCAGATAAATAGCATGTACTATGTTAATGGCAGCGCTATTCATAATAGCCAAGATATGGAAGCAACCTAAGTGCCCATCAATAGATGGATAAGGAAGTTACGGTACATATATAATGGAATATTATTCAGCCATAAAAAATGAAGTCTTACCATTTGCAACCACAAGAATGGACTTAGAGAGTATTATTGGGTGAAATAAATCAGATAAATAGCATATGATTTCACTTATATGCAGAAACTAAGGAACAAAAGAAAACTAAACAAAAATAGACTCACAGATACAAAGAACTGGTGATTGCCAGAGGAGAGGGGAATTGGGGGGTTGGGTGAAATAGGTGAAAGATTGAAAAAGTACAAATCAATAGTTACAAAATGGTCACAAGGATGTAGAGTACAGCAAAGGGAATATAGCCAATATTGTAATGGCTGCGTGTAGTGCCAAATGGGTGCTAGAGCAATTGGGGGTATCATTTCATAAATTTTATCAGTGTCTATAACTATTGTACTGTATACCTGAAACTAATATAAAATAATAATAAAAAATAAAATATTTTTAAATGAGAGTATTTAGTTCTTGGAATAGAATTTTAGGTGATTCATTCTTAATGACCTGTGTAGAAGAGTATCAGAGTTACCAGGCTTAGTTTCAACTTAGTGCATTACTCAGAAAAAATAGTTCCCCTCTCATGAATCATGAAAGTGGTGACAACTGAGCTATGGATCAAAAAAAAGCAAGCCAGCCTTCTTGAGTGTGTTAACTGACTAGCATTGACAGTCAACAAAACCTTGAAACTGGAGCTTAGAAACCATTAATAGGGATGAAAAACTTAGTAAACATTTATTCATTTATTCAATTGATACACACTTAGGGAGAGATCACTGTATCAGGAAATGTGCTAGGACACGGAGAGACAATCATAAGTAAGATAACTTAAACCCTCAAAGGGCTTACCATTTAGAAATTCCAGTAACCTATAATTATAATAGAATGTTTCATGTGCATAGGATATCATGAAAACATAGGACGGGCAGTTAACCCAGCCCTGAGCAATCATAGAAAGCTCCTCAGTCAAGGCAACTTCTACACTCAATCTTGAAGTAATTAGAAAAGGAATTAGGGACCCTATCTTGCATTTGCCCTTGGTTAACTCAGACTTTGGTTGCATACCACTGTGAATTCGTTTTGTACTGCAGAGGCCCGGATGATCCTCTCCTGAGATAAACGGAGAGGTGTTGTAGAGGTAGAACAGTGCTAGATGTAGTTGGTTCATGTGTGTGACGTAGTCTTGCTAAATGAACACCAGTCCCAGTAGAAGTGTTTACAGAGTACATAAAAATGTAGAAATGTTTCATTCAAGCAAACTTATTAATGAACATATGCTTCATAATGATCATAAAGTGCTTCTCTATACTTCTGAGGCACGAAAGTCTTTGTTTTACTTCTGGAAATCTGTATCTACTTGTACTTAATTAAATAAACCTGGAACAATGAAGAATAAGATTACATATGCGTAATGTTACTTATTGGTTCTCAAATGTAGAGTTGTTGGAATGGAGCTACTTCATGTTTTTCTATAGGATGGTTTTAATGTTATTTTTATTTGATTTTTTGTTGGTTTTTAATCACAGCATAAAAATCAGACATGCACATTTAAAAATACCTCATTAAACAGCTGTCATTGTTCCCAGCATAAAATCTTTTTTCTGTAACCTGTTGAGTCAATGTATTTATGAACATATTCTTTTTGTGATCAACCCTCAAATTGTTGAGACTAAATATTAACAAATTGTTTCACAGAGAATGCATATCAAAGTATTTGCTTGGGTTACCCCCAAGGAAATAGCATTGGGGTAAGAGCAAGCTCCATATTTTACTTTGAAAATTTCAGAACTTAGATTTTTTCGTAATAAAAAATACAATAAAGATAAAGGCTATAACTGCCTAATTTTAATTTTATGATGAGACCCAGAAGAATATGATATATTTCCCATGTCCGTGAAATTTTCTCTTATATAAGACAGATAATGATAAAGAAATACTACATTCAGAGTCCAGGTACAACATTGGATTGAATATTAAGCTGATGTGTTATTGCCATAATCCCCCATTACTGTGTCAGAGGTATTGCATATGGAAGCTGCAACATCATCAGTAAAAAAGAATGTTAAAAATAAGTGAGCAGATACTGCATAACCATCAGTTTCTTCTCTCAAACTTATGCCACCTGCATTGTTATACTCCATTTATGAGTCAAATATGTGAACAAGGTGGCTGTACATCCTGTTCTTCAAATCTTGAAATTATGGACTCTTAAAAGAATCATAAAAATACATGAAAATATTTACAAGAGCAACATAAATATGAAATATATTTTTTAAAAAATCAGGTCCACTCTACATGACTGAGCCAAAGTTCTTGAAAATATATTGACATCAGGATAACTAGCTGAGTATGAAAAATCTCTTCTGTGGAAACACATATCCAAAACCAGATTTTATTACATGAAACAAGATTATTGAAAATTTAATCTGAAATGGACTGAACCAGAAAGAAAGCAGAAGCAGTATGCTAAAGCAGAATCATGACTGGATTGTTTTAGCAGGTTAGGTATCCATACTACTGTAAACTACTCTGGTCCAGGGAATCAGACAATGAAAGTTCTAGTAATGCATGTGCTATTAAATGCAGTCTTAGGAAAGACACTTCACCTCTGCAATATGAAGATGAAACTCATCCTTTGTGCATTAAAAGAGACAGAACTTGAAGAATACAACCAACCAAGGATTTCTTGCAAGTGCTTGAGAAAAGTCAAAACTCTTTTGTAAGGAAAATGGGAAACTTACCTACAAATACTTCTGCTCCCCAATGCACTACTGAAATAGGTTGGCCCTCTGAGTTGGCAAAAATATAAATAAAGCTCTTAACTTTCATAACATAATGAGAACTCTGCCTCCCTCATGTCTGGTGCCTAAGCATACAACTTTCACATTAGCTGCACCATGGGTAGCTGTTAGAGAGTTCAATCATGAATTGTCTGTGAGCCTGCACCTGCCAAGGGCAGCTTAAGACATCCAATATTTGAAAAACAGTCTAATGGACATGCTAAATACATTTTCTCCTAGCTTCTCCAAGCCTGCCATATTTTAAGTTAGATCGTCAAGAAGCAATGTACTTGGACCAAATTATCTCAGTTCTCCATAGAAATGCCTTCACTGATTGATGATACAAAGTTTTGCCCTGAGCAAAACTGAGGGTCGATACAAAAACTGTCTCATCAGTATTTCTGTTGTTTTTGTAAAGCTGTAGCCAGGCAGTGTCTACTATGCTTGCAAATATCAGTTTTAAAAAGGCCTGCAGAAATTCACCTCATTTAACTCAATTCCAAGAAAAAGTTTTTTTCTGTCTGCAACTTTTGTTTATAGTGAACATTAGGTAGCTAATGAGGTTTCCTTTCAGATATTAGGAAACTCAGAGCCAAATTCATACACACCTTAAAAATTACCTCACCTTAGGTTGATGGCACTATTTTTGGTGTGTTATTTTTTAGATAGAATTTCTTCTGTTCTATTCATCAACTACCCATTTTATATGTTTAACTTAGAAGCTACTTTTTATCTTTTTTTCAAACTTTGGAGGCATATAACAGAGTAAGTATAAAAAGAACCAAAATTCACTGAATAGTTACTTTATGCAAAGTAGTTTACATACATACCCTTAGGTGTATTTTATTTTAAAGATGAGGATCAATTATGTCAAATGATACAAACCTAGTAAGAGTCAGGGCTGATATTTGAACCCACAAAGTAGTTTACATATATACCCTTAGGTGTATTTTATTTTAAAGATGAGGATCAGTTATGTCAAATGTTACAAACCTAGTAAGAGTCAGGGCTGATATTTGAACCCACATCTTTCTGGTTTTGTCCAAAGCACATGCTCCTATTTATGATTCTACTATATATCTATTAAACATTAATTTTTATTATATTTGTTTTTTTTCTGCAAGTCTCATGTAATAGAAGGGATTTTTATTATTTTTAAGGAACATTCATGAAGCCATTGATTATACACAGTCATTCTCAGTACCCTTTTCTTTCCATTTAAGAAACTGGAATACGTCGTGATGAGCATAATAATGCCAAAACAAGAACACAAAGCAAGATTAAGTATCTCTGTCTTTATGGTACAGAAGGGAAGCAGGAGCTTGGGGTGGGGAAGACTGCACAGCTTTCCTTCACAGGGAAGATGTGTGAGGCCCCTGTAGTCCCGACTTGCGGGAGGGCTAACCCATATTCTGTCGGTTACCATAGCCTTTCGGATGGATGTCCTTCCAGTCATCCCACTCCCGAGCTTGATGTAGTGTTTGCTCATCATCCTCTTCCTCCTTTGTTTCCTGATCTTCCTGTTGCTGAGCTGCTCTTTTGACCTCTAATGTTGTCTTGACTATTCCTTGATCTGATAATGCTCCAAATTTCCGATGCTGATCATACCAGTCATTCACCGTCATAGATGCCAGACTTGGATAACCGGCTCCAAATACTTTGGCTTGGGCCGCATTCCGAGTGAGAATAAAGGGCTTCATTTGAGGCCTGTCCTGACGAGATGAGTTAGAAACTGACCCCTCTGCTGAAGAGGCTTTTTCTCTCAGGACCTTTATCTCCAGGTCAATGCTCTCAATCTCTTCTAAGCTGATACCAATCCACCTTTGAAGGTGAAGGAGGTAATATTCACGAATACTCTCATCATCAGCTTGACCACTTTCCACAGCAGATTTCAGTGCAGATAACCTATGTTCCATTTCCTTCTTTTGCTTGTATCTCTCTATTTTTGCCTGTCTTTGAGAGGTTATAGCAATGAGGCTAGAATCGGTCATGGAGGAACTAGCAGTGTTATTTTCAGCTGAGTTGTTCTTGGTTTTGGGCAACTCAAATTCTGCCACATGATAGTATTGGCACTGAGATAAGTAGTTTAAAAAGTGTTCTCGAGCCCACTGCAAATGATCTAGATGCTTACTTGGGTTGACCTGTTTCATGGCAAGTGCTCCTTGAAATGCTGGTACCATCAGGTACTTCAGGTCAGTAGAAGCAATCTCTTCCAAATCTTCATTTCGGCTGAACAAGTCAAGTTGAGATAACATTTTGGCAGCCTTCTTAAGGAGGTCTAGTCCCTTCAATACCTTCTCTTGGATTATCCGGGAACTGATGGGTTCAGCTGCTACTTCTACTTCGTCTAGAAGCTGCTTGCTGGTTTCAAAGAGCTCAGGAAGCCGAGGTAGCAGTAACTCGTCTTCTTTGGCTGCTGCCATCTTAAGGGAGGGATAAACATTAATTTTTATTATAAGCTTATTTTGAACTTGATTAATTAATTACCTATTCCTCCTTGCAGTATTGTTGTGAGGGTAAAATAAAATTAAAGACATGAAAGTACTTTGAAAGAATTTTTAAATGGTATACAAATGTAAGTGTTTTATTATCTGTTATTCCATTATATTGATCCTTGTAAGATTTGAATTATTATATTAAAATCTAATGGCTGTGAGTATGTAATTCTAAATCTTGAATGTTCCATTACCCACTCTATTAGTACTCAACAATGATTTTTAATCAACTGGGAAGCTGAAAAGGGTTTTAGTAAAAGTCTCTCAAATGTGAAATACTTAACCAAAGTTCATAAACAAATGACATTCTAAATAAAACTTCAGTTCATAAAGTTTCTGTTTTGATCAAGAAATCATTCTTCCACCATACATATAACACCTTCTTGTAAGCCATATGAAACCATGCATTTGAAAATCCTACGGTGGTCCTCCGACCACAGAGATAAAGGAATAGAGAAACTATTCCTTTTTTCGTGTCCTGAGGAAGAGCCACAGACTTTATAAAATCATTAACTGTCTCTAAACACAGACAAGAACAGTCCCTTCACTCTTCATCCCAGACTGAATCCTCAGCTAATATTAAAGTACAACCTCATCATGCTTGATCTTCTTTCATTAATGTCTCTTTCTCTTGTCTCATTTCAGCTTTTTATCCCTCCAGAAAATGACTTTTGCTATTTCAACTCTTGATACTAATTATATTTTTAATTTTGTATATTAGCTTTACTTCTCCAGCTTGTCACTAAGAAAATATTTTAAAACATACTGCATTAGAAACCATGAATATTATTGTAAGCATCAACTGCAAGTATATCACGCAATGAAAACATCACTATAATAGAAAAGTGCTGCTTCACTATCAAGAAAGTAAACAACTCAGGATGTAGATTGCAGGCCTGGGTCCTATTTTAAAAAAATTAATTCCTTTAGTAGGACATTTAGTAAACTGTAGGCAAAATATTTTCTCTATATTATTTTTAAATTAATAAATTGCAATAATATCCTAGCTCAACCTCTGTCCATGCTTTACCATCACTGGTGGTTGGGGTACTTTTATTTTAATTTTATTTGTATTTTCAGAAGTCCTTGGATATTGGCCAAATCAGATATCATATGGTAAGGAACTTCATGGAAAATTCTTTGCTCTATACATTATAAATACAGATGAAATAATAATATGTGACCCTTATTAGGGTAATAAAGGCAGTTTCAGGCAGTCACTGACACTATTAGATAAATGGTAGAAAGAAAATTGGGGTTGTAGAGATGAGAAACACCATCTCTTTCTGAGAAGAGTATTTCTGATCCAAAGACCAACTAGGAGGGATCTGCTAACTGGGCAAGTTTATAGTATATCACAGCTCCTTTAATGCCAGTGCAAACACAGAAAAAGTAGCAGAAAAATAAAGAAGCATGTGTGTGTACTTGTCAGGTTCCTTTGTCAGGAAGCAGAGCCTGGGGCAGAGGTTTGGATGCAATCTGTAAGAGAAAGAAGGAAGTAGAATGGAGAAGGAAAGAGAACCAAGCAAGGACATGCTGTCAAGTCAAGTCTAGAATATGTGAGACTCTAGAACAAGAGTCAACAGAGTTTTTCTGTAAAAGGTCAGGTAGTCTTTTTTGCAACTACTAAACCTTGCTATTCCAGCATGTAAGCAGCCAGAGTCAAAACAAATGTGCCTGGTTTTGTTCCAAGAAAACTTTATTTACAAAACAGTCTGCGAGCCAGATTTTGGCCCAGAGACTATGGTTTGCTGACTACTTCTCTAGAGCATAAATCACACCACAGAGCAGCTGCCTTCTCTCCATAAGTACAGAGTTTGGTCTTTTCTACTCTGTATCAGTCATCAGGTTTGAAGCTAGGGTAGAGGTGGTACCTAGCCTCCAAGACAAGGTGGTTCCCATCAACTAGGACAGTAGTCCTCAAACTTCACTGACTCAGAATCACATGGATTTCTATAAAACACAGATTGCTAGGCTCCATCACTAGAGTGTCTGATTCAGTATTTTTGGGGTAGAGTCTGAGAATTTGTACTAGTAGCAAGTTTCCAGATAAAATTAATGCTACATTTTTGGGAACCACTCTTTTTGATCACTGAATTCAGAAGATTCTCCAGAGGAGGGGCAGCTGTGAGTCCTTTGCAGCCAACATTCACAACAGCTAGATATCTGATGTACTGGCCTGGTAAAATGCA